CAAGACAGAAACCTGGGCTTGGGCCAAGACCGGTTTGGCTCAGTGGATAGAGCATCGGCCTGCAGACTGAAAGGTCCCAGATTCGATTCTGGTCAAGGGCATGTATTATACCTTGGTTGCGGGCACATCCCCAGTGGGGGATGTGCAGGAGGCGGCTGATCGATATTTCTCTCTCATCGATGTTTCTAACTCTCCATTCCTCTCTCTTCCTCTCTGTAAAAAATCAATTAAAAAAATTAAAAATTAAAAATAAATTTAAAAAAAGAAAGAAACCTGGACTTGGGAATCAAACCAGTGACCTCTTAGTGCACAGGATGACATTCAACCAACTGAGCCACACTGGCCAGTGAAGGAGTACCTTTTACTAAGCTCTTACACTACTGCTGATTGCACTTGGGACTGGAAAGAATTCGGTCTTTCATGGGCATTTCTGGGTCTAGCTGGACCCTCATTTATCACCAAGGGTGCATCTTCCTCCTATAGCTTTAGTTGACCAGCGATCTATTCACTGCAAGTTAATAAAAGAAGGAAATACAACCTGGTCCTTGAAAAACATTACAGCTACAAAATAACTTATATTTAATGAGATTCTTTTTTTCATTTTAAGAAAACAAGGATCTGCCTTAAAAGGTGATGAAATCTTTGCTGCAAAATAGACATGGACAACAGTATGCTGGTTGCTGGAGGTGTGTGTGTGCGGTGGGGGGGGGGGGGGGGGGGGAGTGTATAGTGGTGATTGCCAGGAGAAGGGAGGGCGAAGGGGATAATGGTGATGGAGGGAGACTTGATTTGGGGTGGTAAGCACACAATATAGCATATAGATGATGTGTTGTAGAATTGTATTGTATACCTGGAACCTGTATAATTTTGTTAAGCACTGTCACTACAATAAATTTAATAAAAATAGAATTTGGTGCAAAACTACCGTAACAGGAAAAAGATCAGTGGTTGCCACAAGTTGAGGGGGAGGGGAAAGATGAATAAATGAAGCATAAATGAAACTATTCAGTGATGGTGGAAACATGTCATTTTAATATGTTCTGTCAAAACCCATAGAACTACACATCATAAAGAGTGAGCCTTAATGTAAACTACAGACTATAGGTAATAATAATGTATCAGTATTGGAACATTAGTTATAGCAAATGTACCACCCTAGTGAAAGATGTTGATAACAGGGAAACTATGTGTGTGGGGGGAAGTGGGCAGTGGAGTATGTGTGTATGGAATGCTGTGTATTACCTGCACAATTATTCTGTAAATCTAAAACCTAAAACTAGAATGGACTTGGAGAGCATTATAAGCAAAATAAACCAGTTGGAGAAAGATAAATATCACCTGATCTCACTCATTTGTGGAATATAATGAACAACACATACTGACGAATGAAAATAGAACTAGAAAAAAAAATATTTTAGAATATTATAGAAATAATCCTGTAATTTGCAGATTTTTAATATTTCCTACAACTTTTGTGATATTATATATTATGTTAGTACAGTTTTGATATTATTATATTTAAAATCTTTTTTTCTTAAAATATTAATGTTTATTGCATGTAAAAAGTAAAATAAAAGATAAAAAGAAAGTAAAAAATAAAATAAATAAGAATAAAAAATAAAATATAAAACTATACTAAAAAATAAATTTTTTTTTTTTTTTTTTTAAGAAGGGAATGAAGAATTACTCTAGTAGATAAGAAATAGCCTAGCCAAAACCGGTTTGGCTCAGTGGTAGAGCGTCGATCTGTGGACTGAAAGGTCCGGGGTTCGATTCCGGTCAGGGCATGTACCTTGGTTGCGGGTACATCCCCGGTAGGAGGTGTGCAGGAGGCAGATGGTCGATGTTTCTCTCTCATCGACATTTCTAGCTCTCTATCTCTCTCCCTTCCTCTCTGTAAAAAAATCAATAAAATATATTTTAAAAAAAAGAAGGAAAAGAAATAGCCTAATTTCCTACTCAAGATCTGAAAGAAAATCCACAGCCTCAGGCTTGTTCTGGTGTGTTACATATAAAATTAAAAGCTTTGCAAATATGAAAAGACTAAAAAGAATTGTATCTTTTTTGAAGTTTCACAATTCCTATGTTTATCTAAACTGTATCAGAAAAATAAAGCAGAAGAAAAAATCATTACTTATTCATTAAGGTGTTTTATCAAAGGTTAGATGTCCTAATTTGAAAAGATTTACTTGCTCTTTGAGAAAAATTGAAAGAATGGGGAAGTACAAAAACAATTTTAAATGTTAAAAATATATAACATTTGCCAAAACCGGTTTGGCTCAGTGGATAGAACGTCAGCCTGCGGACTGAAAGGTCCCAGGTTGGATTCCAGTCAAGGGCATGTACTGTGGTTGCAGGCACATCCCAGTAGGGCGTGTGCAGGAGACAGCTGATCAGTTTTTTACTATCCTTCTCCCTACCTCTCTGTAAAAAAATCAATTATATATATATAATTTGCTGAAAACATCTGTAATGAGAAGAACATTAGAAGCAGAGACCTAACCACCAGCACTAAGAGGCTGGGCAGAGAAGAGTGAGTGAAGATGATTGACAGCAAAAAAGCACAGCAGGCTGCAGGTAGTCGCTGCCCAGGAAACCTGGGTTCCAGGGAGGGCTCAGTTGTAGAGGATGATGGGGGAGGCCTTGGCATCTGAGTTTTGCCTTTGCGAGTAAGAAGCCCCTCTTTGCTAATACTACACTGTATTGATTTTGTAACTTTAAAATGTCTTAAATAGGTAGTGTGAGTCCTACAACTTAGTTCTGCTTTTAAAAATTGTTTAGTATAATTAATTCCTTTGTATTTCTATTACATTTTAGAAAAGCTTGTCAACTTCTTTGTAAAACTTGCAGCTAGAATTTCAAATGGGAATGAGTTGCAAATCACATCAATTTGAGAGATTTGACAGTTTAAATACATTGAATTTTCTACATATCTCAATTTACTTAGATCCTCACTGATTTCTTTCATCAGTATTTTGTGGCTTTTGAGAGGACAGGACAGGGTTAACTCCTAACTATGTCACTATGTAACTGGACCCTAGCCCTCACCCAACCAATCGGGGTCAGCCAAAGCAGTGACCTTACCACACTGATAAATCTTTTGTTCTAGAGAAACTCGCCCTCTCCCTCCACCTTGCCGCTGCATCGGTATGTGGGGGGTGAGCCGGGCTGGCCTGAAATAAAAAGACTCTTTTGCTTTTGCATTGGACTCGGCTCCCTGGTGGTCTTTGGGGATCACGAAATCTGGGCGTAACAGTTTTCAGCATATATACCTTGTACATGTTATTAGACTTATACCCAAATATTTCAGGCTTGCAATGCTATGTGAAAAGGCTGAGAAGTGATAATAAATTATACTTCTATAAACTTCAATTGTTTATTGCTGAAATATAGAAATACAATTTATTTTTAATACATTTTAATTACAAAGTTCCCCTAAAACAGTGGTCCTAAGCCTAGCTGAACCTCAAAATTACCTTTGGAACACTACACACGGGTTCCCAAAACTTCCTGCAATGGGTTCTTATCCTATAGATCTGGGGCAGTCCTAAATCTATGTTTAAAAATCTTCCCTAGGTAATTCTGACCTTGGTGAGGTTGAGAACACTATAAAGCACTTGTGGATATAAATCTTTCAAAGATAAGACAGATATTACAAAAACATAATCCATTTCCCATACTGAGACTACTAACCTACACTTGTTGAGCATTTTTAGTTCTTTCAACAGTGATAGATTTTCAATACTATGACTGTTCTGAAACCTAAATGCTTCTATCTGTTGTAAATTGTGTCAAATTACTAACTAGGGTTAGAAACTCATTAAAATTCAGCCTATGGCCATACCTGGCCAGATTAGCACAATATTGATATGGAGTTTTTAGACTGGGACCCTGGATTCTTTGTCCATGGGAGTAGAAGAATGAATCCATAAACAGAGGGTAGTATAGCAAAGGTGGAGATTTATTGAAGAACAAGTACAGGCTTCCACATGGGGAGAATGAAAGAGTCCCACAGAATGGACACCCATGTGGGTAAGGGGAAGAGGTCCCACCAACTGTTTCCATGGTTTATAAAGGCTGTAGTTCCTGTGTCCTGATATCCCCTCTGATTGGTCAATATACCCTTTTAAATTGGTTACCATAGTGATTCTGGAGGGGGGGGGGTCCTCCCCCCCAACTCATTGTCCTCCTATTCCCTCTGGGCTTTCTCCTTCCTTTATTTTGTAAATATAGACCTTCTTTGGCTACTTCTAGTTCCCTTGTCTTATGGAAATATACCTGTTGCTGCTCCCAGTCTTATGAAAATATAACTGCACCTGGCTTCCTTGTGGTATAAAAATTTACCTTCTCTTAATCTGTAGCCCTATGTTTTTTTTTCCTATGGACCCTAATTCTAAAAATTCCCTAAATCTGCCTATATTCCCCTAAAATTCCTGTTTCAGTATTGCTAACTAGTTGAGCAAACTAAAATTGCTTTTGTTGGGGAAGCAAATAAGAGGTCACTGGCTTAAAAAGCAATAAAATTGTGGTTAAATTCCAGAGTGGTTTACCAAGATAACAATGGTGATCTAGGAACTGTTGAGTGCATAACTACAAAATAAGATTTAAGTAATTTTGTCAAGAGGGTGGCAATGGACTTATTACTAGGGCATTGTGGTATCTTTTTATAAAAACTCAAGAGCAGAAATTGTAAACTGGCTTCTCAGGGGATTGAAAGGACAAAAATGCCACTAGGATCCCAGAAAGTTCCTCTGGTTCCTTCTGTCCCCAAGGCTGTTTGTTGCTTCTCTCTTGTTTTCTTCCCAAGTCCCTCTCAAACAAGAATAACCCTAAAGGAAATCCCACGCCATACAGCTATAAGGCTTCAGAAGTCATATTAATGTTCAAGTATCCAAAAAGCTAAGTCAGATTATGAGATTGGCAAATTAGATGATGTGACCTTCCCTCAATATTGACTGATAGGGGCTATGGGAAAGGATCATCTGAGGAAGAGATAGAGTAAGGCATACGGTGTTTTGAACATCTGCAATAAATACATGCCATATATGGAATCTTCTAAGAAGCACAAATGATTGCCATTTAGTGATATGAAGTGTTTTACATGTCATTCTGTGACATATATGTATACATATATGTATACATATATGTCCCATATAAGTATACATATTTTGCATTTCCTAAAAAATTAAGGACAGCATTTGCTAAATAAAACTAATACTTATAAATAAAACATTCTCTTCTCATAGAGCTTAAATTTACTCTATCCTTTTTAGTATGAACTTTGCAGAAACAGTCTTGGGGTAATTAAAAGTAGATTACTTCTAAAATAATAAGCTAACTACATAACAAGGCTATGAAAATAAGGCCATTTACTTGGATTTTATACCATGTTTTTCCTTCTTCTTTACTACTTTACAGGTTACAGTGGATTCCAGATTATACCTCAGAATTCAATCAAGTGGGGCATAAGGCTTGGCATTATAGAGCTACCTATGCTTAAGAGGGGAAGGAAAGTTTTTATGTTACCTAACAAAGTTCTAGAAACATTGGAACTGGCATACTCATTCTCCAGAAGTCAGTCTTAGAGTCACAGAAACCAGGTCTTATTGAGATCTATACTTTGCTTTAGAAAAAAAGAAACTGAGGGCTCCGAGAATTATGGAAATTGTCTAAGGTCTTCCTTTGAGGTATCGGCAGGGTTGGTTGGGGCAGAATTTAGATTTCTGACACTGAGCTGAGCTGCCTTCTGAGAAACCATGTTTTCCACTGACAAGCTCTGGACAAGAGAAAAATAGTAACAGAAAGCTTTTAATTAAATGTCACGCCTGTTATTCTCCCTGAAGAAACAGCCTGAACAGGGTTCCTTCAGCTCTCCCTCTACTGCTGATTCCCACCCCTATCTGCTTTATGCCACTCCTTCATTAAACCTCTCCTCCACCTCTGCATGCCCCAGCCTAGACTACTGTCCACTGCTTTAATTAGAATGCTACTTTAATCTCCAAAGAAACAGGTCAGTGTTTCTGATCCTATAGAATAAAAGTCTAATATGCAAATTGTTCCCTTGACCATCAGGGGGACAGATGCTCCAACCGGTAGGTTAGCTTGCTGCTGGGATATGGCCGATCAAGACTGGAGGAGACAGGGCCAGACATGTCCTGGAGCCCTCCTGCGGTCACTCCTGTGGTCCCTCCTGGGCCATTGGCCCCAATTGGCCCTGATCTCTGACCAGGCAGAGGGACCCCACCCATGCATGAATTCAAGCAACAAACCTCTAGTATCATTATAAATGCATTTATAGTTTATAAAAGATTCCTGGCATAAGAAGTTATGTGACTAAAAATATTTGTATATCCTATATAATAAAGAAGCAATATGCAAATTGACCCTCACACCCTCACAATATGGCTGCCTATGACCCAGGCCAGCAGAGGGGTTAGTGAGAGATGGCCAAATGACTGAACAGCAGGCTATGTGGGCCACCAGGCCAGCTGGGGAAGAGGGGTAGTTGGGGGCCACCAAGCCAGCAGGCGGGGGGCAGTAAGGAGTGACCAGGCCAGTGGGGGGGGGGGCAGTTAGGAGTGAATAAGCTGGCTGAGAGGGGGGCAGTGGAGGCAGTTAGGTAGGTGGGCAAGCAATCAGGATCCAGTGGTCCAGGATTGTGAAAGGGATGTTCAACTGCCAGTTGAGGCCTGATCCCTGGCAGTCAGATTGGAGAGGGTGCAGGCTGAGGGGACATGAATTCATCGGGCCTCTAGTAAATACATAAGACAGTAGGAGAAGAAAGTACCTTAGTAAGAGTTTTAAAGACCTTCCTTGTGATCTAGGTCCTCTTAGAATTCATGTTGATGAGTGTTTTAGACTGAATTTTGACCCCACAGAATTCAGATGTTGAAGCCCTAACCACCAAATGTGACTGCATTTCAGGAGATAGAACCTAAAAGAAAGTAACTAAATTTAAATGAGGACAGAAAAAAAAGGTGGTCAAATAGGCAGATCTGCATCTCCTCCCAGGGCCAGACTGGAAATACAACTAATTTGGAGGACATTCACCTGGAATCACCAACTGAGGTCCAGCTGAGGAGGAGACTTACAGCAAGGAAGGACAGGAAACACCTGGACACCAGTAAAAAGGGCGAGGTCCTGAGAGGAGCTGAGCCAGCTCCAGGGCAGCAGGCCAGCAGGCTGAGAGAGAGGAAGGAGCTCCCAGCTATGGGAGGGCCTGTTCCCACTGAAGATAGAGGCTTGGAACCCAGGCTGGGCTCCAAGGCTCAGAGCACCGGACCCAGACCGCAGCATCCAGCTGTGAAAGGCAGCAGGGAGCTGGCTCTAATGGCATCTGGAGCGGATAGACCAGAGCTGGGCAGAGAGAAAGCGCAGTTTTGTTTTTGCTTTTTATTTTTAAACCCAGAGCACAGGAATTTTCATTGAAGCTACTCACCTGAGGTTTTGGTTCAGGGAGGCATTCGTGGGCTCCAGGTGCCTAAGGAGAGACAGGGGTGGGAAACATTGAGGGGAGACAAGGAAAAGCAGCAGCCAGGAGTATTTGGTCATAAGCTCCCAAACCTAAAAGGCCATTTTTTCCCAAGAGGAGCTAGCCACTCCCAGTAGCTTCCGCCGGGCAGGAAAAGAAAAAGAGACACCCCTCCCTAGCTGATACAGCCGGCCCTGCTTCAGGAGCCCTTCCTGCCACACCCAGCATTTTGACCTCTTCAGGGGAAACAAAACAGAGGCCAACCCCACAGGTTTGAACAGTCTCAAGAGCCTCAATAACTGGTTTGTGGGAGGGTCTGTCCATTCCACTATTCTGGGGACCAGACTGGTACTTTCCCCACATGGGAGAGCTGATAAAACTCCAGATTTCCAGCCTATCCATTCATCTCCATACAAAGGATCTCTGTACCGTCCAGGGCTGGTACTAATTGGGCCACTCACGGAGGAGTAGCTCTGGGACAGGGAAACACGCCCACCGTATTCCAGGAAAGCTACACAGCTGCTCCCCCGCCTAAGGCCCTGTCAAAAACAGACTTCTGTGTAATTAAGATTGACAGCTGGCTAGTAGGCAAAAGTGGGCAGAGGCAGAGCCCAGGGAACAAGGGAAATTGACTGACCCAGCCCTGGGCCCCATGCTGATAGCAAACTTACTTTAAAGGACAGATTGGTCCCTCCAGCTAGCAGCCCAGTCCAGAGGAGACAGACAAAAATGGTGGATCACTTGGACAAGCAGGTTACCGAAAACCAAAGGAGGACAGTCCCTGACAGTGGTTAGCACCTGAGCACCTCACAGGAAGGCCTGAACTTTCAGAACAGAAGAACAAGATCCACCGTGATACAGGATTTTTGGATTGAAACACATGGTTCCCCTGGGCAGGATGGTTCCGTGTATTCTTGTCTGTCCGAGTCAAAGAATGAATCCACAGACAGAAGGTGGTATAGCAAAGGCGGAAATTTATTGAAGAACAAGTACAGACTCCCAAGAGGGGAGGGGGAAAGAGTCCCACCAAGTTCCCGTTTCCACGGTTTATAAAGGCTGAAAGTCCCTGTATCCTCATATCCCTCTGATTGGTCAATATTACCTTTTGAATTGGTTACTATATGAACCTGAGCTCAAAGGTTAAATCTTACAAGGGACTCATAAGGCCCTCCTCCCTCATTGTGCTCCTATTCCCTCTGGGCTTTTTTCTTCCTTCTCTATATTGTAAATATAGACCTTTGTTACTCCCAGTTCCTTATCTTATGTAAATGTAACTTCTCCATATCTCCCTTCCCTTGTGTTAAGGTCTGTAGACAAGTGTGTTTTCCATGGGGCCCCTTAATTTCTAAAATTTCCTAAACCTGCCTATATCACCCTAAAATTCCTATTTCAAAAGGAAAATCCCATGGGGCACTAATCTCTACTGAAACAAATGCCACTTCACTTTTTTTTTTTTCTTTTCTCTTTTCTTCCCTTTACATTTTAAATATTTTTCCTTTCTTTTTTCTCTTTTTAAAATTTATCTTCATCCATCTGCTTTTAAAATTATTACTCTAGTCTCTTGTTTTGTTCGTATACCTAATTTTCCTCTTCCCTTTTCCTACTCAATTTTTTCTTTATTTCACTACTCATTTTTTTCTCTTTTCTTTTTGTCCTGCTTTCTTATCTTTTTTCCTTTTCACATTTTAGGACTATCTGCTTTCTATTCTCTTTTCCTTTTGAAATTTTCTTTTTTTTCCCCCCATTTCATTTCTTCCTCTTATCTGAAACAATTTTCTTTCCTCTACTCCCCTAATTTTTTATTCTTATTTCTTTATTTCAACTCTGCATATATTGATACATATTGCTCTCCCCCCTTTTTGTTGTGTTTGTTTGTGCTTTGGTATTTTTTGTTTTGTTTTGTTTTCTCTTCATTTTTATGTGTTTGTTTAATCCTCACCGAAAGATATTTTTCCATTAATTTTAATTTTAATTTTTATTTATTTATTTTTTAGTGTGTAGTGAGTTTCTTTATGGGCCAACTGTTCTTTTGAGACCCAATTTCAATGTCAAACAGTTCCTAATGTGTACAAGTCAGCAATTATATTTCAGTTCTGGATGGTGGACAAATGGTGGTAATGCAGGTCCGACCCTCTCTGGCTTGGTCCTGGACAACCAGCAGTGACGCATAGCTACTGTCTGCTATTGTGGCAAGGCAACATCAGCGTCTTTCATCTCTGGACTGCTTCTCTTCTGTCTTCATGGATGGAGTAGACCTGTCAATTCATTTCTGTTGCCAAAATCCAAATGGTCTCAGAGTTGTTTTCTGAAAATATACACATATTCTCAATCAAAAGTTCATAAAGGAATATTTTCTATAAATTTGACTTAGGATCCTTTTTCATTTTTTGTCCAAATAATTTTCTTTTGGCTTATTTTGACACCATGTGTGTTTTTCATTGGTGTCTTGCTGGCAGCATTACAATTAATTTTCTAAAGTACAAATATTCTAGATGTAATTTACTTACAGGATATTTTTCCTTGCATGATATTCTTGTACTATCTCCCTTTTTTATTTAAATATTAGGAGGCTCTTGAAAATTTTATAATGTAGTCTTAATAGCTTTTAAATTTTATTTTTTATTTTTTGCATTATAATATGACTGCTTTAGGTTCATTACAAGTTATACAATTTTATCATGAAATGAACTACCAATAAAAATTTTAGTTAACATTTTTTTCCATTGATTTTTAGAAAGAGGGAAAGACAGAGAGATATATTGATATGATAGAAACATATCTATTAATTGCCCCCAGCACAAGTCCCAGCCAGGGCCAGGGCCAGGGCCAGGGCCAGGGAAGATCCTGGAACTGAAGCATGTGCCCTTGACCAAAATCAAACTTTGGTTCACAGGCCAGTGTTCTACCAACTGAGCCAAAATGGCTAGGGTTCTTCGTATTTTTTTCTTTATTTTTTCTATCATTCTATAATATTTTTCCTAATTCTATCTTCTCTGGTGTTGCTTTTGTTGGTGCTGTAGGGGTCTTGAGTATGTTTTTGTTTCTTTTGTTGTGCTATATTTTGTTCTGTTAGGTTAGCACCTACACAACAACTTGCACAACGTGGCTGGGGTGAGTCACATAGCCAGCTAGCCTGAGAAGAGATTCTATCCATGAATGGGACAATTAACATTCAAGACCCAATTACATCAGGAAAACCAAAATAATGCAATTAAGAGGCCTTCCTAAAGCATCCAGCTCAAGATATCTAAGATATTGCACTACTGGGACCCAGAAAGTACCAACTACATAAGACTACCCACCCCACAAAGTCTGGGAGGCCCAGCAAGTTGATATAATATATAGAAACAAAAACAAAGGGACAGAAAAAAAATAGGGAGACAAAGAAACAACCCCAAATGAAATAAAAGGAGATTCATCAGAAAAAAACTACTGGTAAATGAAATGGAGATAAATAATTTGTCAGATAAAGTAATGGTAATAAGGGTGCTCAAACAATTCAGTGAGAACTAACAGCAACTTATGAGCATTATGAGAGACTTAATGAGAGCCACACCAACATGAAAAGATAGCTTGAAACAATAAATAAGAAGCAATTGGAAATAAATGACATAGAGTCTAAAAAATATGCAAAAGGTCAATAAAACCAAGAATTGGTTTTTTGAAAAGATAAACAATATTGATGAATTTCTAGCCAAACTCATAAAAAAAAACAAAGAGAAAGTACCCAAATAAACAAAATCAGAAATGAAAGTGGTGAAGTAACAACTGATCCCACAGAAATACAAAGAATTATTTAAAAAAAATACTATGAATAATTATATTACAACAAATTGGACAACCTGTATAAAATATACATATCTATAGAAAAATACAATCTTTCAAAACTCAAGATGTATCAGAAAACCTGAATAGGTAGATAACTACTGATGAAATTGAAGCAATAATTAAAAAAAAAAATACTCAGCAAACAAAAGTCATGGACCAGACAGCTTCATAGGTAGTTTTACCAAAAATTCAAAAAACAACTAACACCTATTCTCTTCAAACTATTCTAAAAAATTCAAGAGAAAGAAATACTTCCAAGGTCTTTTTATTATTACCCTAATTTCAAAACCAAATATAGACACTACAAAGAAAGAGAATTACAGGCCAACATCCTTGATGAACATAGATGCTAAAATCCTTAATAAAATATTAGCAAATTGAATCCAGCAATACATTAAAAAGATCATAAACCATGACTAAGTAGGATTTGTTCTGGGGATGCAAGGATGATATATATCCAAAAATCAATAAATGTGATACATCACATAAACAAATTGTAAGACAAAAATCACATGATAATAGCACTGATGCAGAAAAGGCATTCAACAAAATCCAACACCCTTTTTTGATAAAAACTCTCAGCAAAGTGGGAGTAGAGAGATTATACCTCAACATAATAAAGGCCATATATGACAAACCTACAGCCAACATCATACTAATGGGCAAAAACTAAAACCACCTCCCCTAAAAATAGTAGCAAAATAGGGATATCTACTTTTACCACTCTCATTCAACACAGTACTGGAACTCCTAGTCTTAGTGATCAGACAGTAAGAAAAAAATATAAGGCATCCAAATTGGAAAAGAGGAAGTGCAACTGTCATTACTTGCAGATGAGTAAGGCTTTAGACTATTTGTATATGGTAAAATGTTTTCTGATCTCCTATGCAACTCGCCTCTGATGAAAAAAATAGCATAACTTTATCTTCAAAACATGTTATAGTAACCATTTTTAATATTTTATTTTAATCTTTCAATGTCAGAACTTATAAACCTTATTAGAGTGTAATATTTTGCTGTGTTCTTGCTACCATAAAACTTTTTTCCAGTTTTTACATGACCTAGAATAATTTAAACATGTTTTATATTTTTATTTAATTTGGGTTTCAGATATGCCACTTACCAACTCTTTTCTATTGGTCATCTTTCATATTTTTTCCCAAAAGTTTCTTTGGAGATTTCATTAAATATTGTGACCTTTAAGATACTCTTTCTAGACTCCTAAGTACTTTTTTTTTTTTTTTTTTTTTTTTAAAAAAAAAATCTATTCTACCAATTTATAAATTTTCCATCATGTAAAATTTTTAAGCAATTTAGGTTAATTTGATCTTGATTCTTTAAGTGTTACATATATATATGCATGAGCTTGTTAAACATACTATTTGTTTCAACTTTCATCATATCTAGAACTCACTTCTAAATTGTAGGAGGATTCATACTTACATTATATATTTACTTACTCCTCAAACATATAAAATCTTTAAATGACAATATATTACATTTTCACCAATAAATCCTAAAGGCATACAGAATGTTGCCATTAACTGCATCATCCACCCAAAGGGCATTTGTGTGGAAAAGCTGTCAGAGCATTTGACAGGCCTGCAAACTGAACAGCAAGATTATGTGAATTTATTTTCAGAATCATGCTGAAAGATTACAAAAATATAATTCATACTTAGTACATTTCTATTTTCTATTACCTTATTGTCAAAGACCATTCAAATATTCTTGATTGAGATCAAGGAGGGAAGAAAATGCCCACTGACTTTTCACAGTTCTAATACATTGCCAGGTAAAGCTACTCCTGAAAATTTTAACTCTATAAATGTAAATTAAAAATTCCAAAAAAGTACCAGTTATGATGCTCAGATTCACATTAGCACATGTTATTTAATACAAGAAATTTAAACACATCAGAAATTGGCACAAGCATGATTTGAGAAAGATCGATATTCGTGACATCATTAAGACAGCATTAATTTTTCACTTGTCATCATTATGTGATGCTTGCTAAATCATAGAATATGACTTCGACTGCCCTCAATCCCACAATCTGATTTGATTATTTTGACTGCATGCTTTCATGTGCACATTAAATGACTCTTCTTTATGTGCCAGAACAAGGCATGAACTTGAAGTGGCTACATTACTTCCAGCTTGAATCTAAACTTCTTATAAAAGAAAAGTCTTCATTTAGCTTTCTTTTACAAACTTTCTTTTTTCTTATACTACCGTGTTTCCCCGAAAATAAGACATCCTCCGAAAATAAGACCTACGTACAGGTTTCCTTCTGAGTGAAATATAAGGCATCTCCCCGAAAATAAGGCCCCCCCAGACTAAACATGAGAGATTTGGTCCACTGATTCTGAAAGAAATAGATTCACAAGAAATTCACCAGGAAATTCAGGAATTGGATTGTTATGATGAGGTTCCAGAAGACGATGACAGATTGTCATCGAATAAATGAGTAAATTCTTCATACTGTAAGATTCACAGTTTGTCTGGTTTGTGTTGACAACTACCATACTACCATACCATATAGAGGTAATAAATTTCCTTTATTTTCATTTAACAATAAAGGTGTACCATATTTTTCTTCATGGAAAAATAAGACATCCCCTGAAAATGGGACCTAGCGCATCTTTGGGAGCAAAAATTAATATAAGACACTGTCTTATTTTCGGGGAAACAGGGTAGTAACCTCTATAGAAGCCTAACCAAGCCTTCTTCCTTCTTGCCTTTCTATGAGTGTGGTTTCATTCCATGCTGCTTTAAGGATAAAACCAGAATCCTTTACTGTGTTTTACTGGGTCTTCCTTCACCCAGCCCCTGACCTTTCCTCCACCTTCATAGCTTACTGTCCCTGTCACAATCCCATTCCGACTAAACTGAGACATGTGACTAGTTCTCCTTCCTCTCATATTTCCTGTTTGCCTTCACCAAATGATTCCATCTGCTTGAAATGTTCTTCTCTCCTTCTTCATGCAATTAATTCTTTCTGGTCTTAAGATTCCTCTTACCAAGGAATACTGTTTTCTTCTTGTCTCTCCCTCACTGTGCAATGAAGCCGTTCTCTGAGGTCAACAGAAAGCCATGCTCAGCTCTGACATGGCACTGACATTCTACAACTCAATCTTCCCTGGGTTGTTCAACTTTTAACTCTAGATAAGAGACCAGGTCTTTTATCTTTGTGGCCCCCTCACCTTAGAACAACGAGTGAAAGAGTAAATGTTTATTAAATGAATACCCAACACGTGCCTTTGTTCATATTTTTCCTCTTCTCCCTAAATCCCTTCCTTCATTTGCCCACCATCCCAATCTTTTTTTTCTCCCCAAATGCCACTTAAGTCCCATTCCTCTATGAACCCCTTTTTACCCTCTTTTTTCTGAAAGCGTGTGTTTTCTTCCTTTGTTTATTTCGTGAAAGTCTTGTGGGCCCTTACCCTACTAGTAGACCTTCCAGATAAGAATGAAATCTTGTTTACTTCTGCACAGTCTGATCCTTGGGCACCTAGAAGGTTCTTAGTACATTTTG